TAATTGGGACACGCACGGGGGATTTTCAGCAGTCTTTTCCGTCACAAAATGCGGCTATAGAAAACACACGCTAGGATATTGATGTCAGTAATTCATAAAATGCATCGTGGCTTGGGGCAGAAAATGGCTTTTCTTATTTTATATTTTTAAATAAAACACTGATTATTATTATAAATCATTTACTGAGCTCCGATAGAGTTTAATAAAAATACGGATATATGTGTGGTATAATATAGTGTATATACACTCTACATTAGATTTGTGATTGGATTTTTGATTCTCTTAAAAAGTTATTTAGCGACTATCTTAATTTATATTACATTATACGGTATGTGTTTCGATTAATAAAATCCAAATGATTTTTATTAATGAAAGCCATCAAATGTAATGAAAACTCGAACGAATAAACATGACACCTGAATGCGTATTCTATTTGTTCTTATTTCGAACGCAAATTTGGAAAATTTTGCATCGTTCTCATAATATTGTTAAATTAATGACCATGAAGGTTATTTGTGCATCAGAGGCAGTCTCAGTGTTTTACTCGGTTGTCATAAATTATCAAACAATAGTTTTCGGAGAAATAGTATAGGCCTTTACGTTAATTCGTACGAGTAGTATCTATAATTATAATCCGACAGATTCACAGACGTGCCTACTCTAGTATAGTATGGCAGCTCAATGAACGCTAATTGATGTGGTGGTTTATATGATTTCATGCATATACTTATTAAAACTGATGATTCTCAGAACATTGACACGTCAGTAGATATTAGGACTGACATTCATGTCACACTGAAATATTCTAATCTACTGATCACCATACTATGCGATTTGATACTCGCGTGATTCGAGATTCGTATTCGGTGAATTTCCACATTGAAAAATAAAATCTTTGATTTATTTATTTATAGACGATTTTGAAATGTTTTCATCAAACATTATTATGCACATTAGTTTGTCGTGTCGATTAACGTCGTCGTGTCGTTTATTTTCGTCAATAGTTGACTGATTCTGTTAATTCTTTATTTTTTTATACATATACCTTATATTTTCGAATGTGTCTCATTAAAATTTCATGAGGATTGGACCAGTAGTTAGTTTTATTGTAAATAATCATGTCCAATTTCGATCTAAAAATTTAATTTCACATCTACTGATGTTATATATATCAAAATGTAGCTTATTTTTTAATTTATTTCATATCAGGAAATTAAATCTTAAATTGATGTCAGGATAAAAATTGCGAGGTTTATTTTTTAATAGTACTATGATAACTACCATAATGCGATTCGGACCCTAAAATGACGGTTTGTTACACTTCCTCGATGCAATTCGGACACGACGACGGTTTGCTACGTTTCGTCTTATGTAATACGAAAAAATATTCTTTCGTCATATTGTAAAAAAGTGCACATTAAAAATTACATTTAGACTTATTGCCATATTTACGAGTCAAACTATAAAAAGCTTTGATTTTTATGCATTAATAATTAAAGCAACTTCACAATTATCACGAGTTTTGACAGCTATTATAAACTTAAAATATTATTTACAAATTGCGAATCTCCCTGACCTCCAGACAGTGGCGTAACTATACCGTTTGAAGCTCGTGGCAAATTCATCAGATATTCAATTTTTTTTTTTACTAATTGCGTAATAATAAATGTCAGGAGTGAGGCGTCTTCTCTGACCGGGGGCCCCTTCCAGTTGGGGGCCCGTGATATTTTGCCGACTAACCACCTTGTAGTTACGCCACTCCCTCCAGTTGAAAAGATGCTGAGGTATTAATCTATTTTAAGCAAAAACTAATTTAAATTATCACTAATGGTACGACCTTTAAAAAAACCATATGACAAGTCAATCAATGTATGGAAAATGGATATGATACTTTGATAATAAGTTCACATTCCGTCTTTCACTATATATCTAAAATAAATATTCTGTTGAAGTTGGGCGATCAAAAGCATGTATATCCTAAAATTTCTTCTAAGCCATTGTGTTATCACCCACGTATGATATAGATTGTAGATTACCGTAGGTGAAAGAGTTTTCATGATGGGATCCGTATTACCGGAGAATATCCACTACGAGGGTCAAACTGAAAGTTCTTAGAACTGGCCACTTATAAACAATATAATAAAAAAATAATTCTAAAATTTGAAAATATAACTCTTTGCCAATATTACTGAGTATATATTTCATTCATTTGTCATTTGTTTTACGATTTGGCGGCAAATTGAAAATTGTCTGTGTCACGTCATCATGAATTTAACACGAGAAAATTTTCGTGCAATGATTTTTTATGACTTTCGATGTCATTTAAGTCAACAAGAAAGTTATGATAGACTACGATTGGCCTTTCACGATGAAGCCCCATCTCGTGCGACTGTTTACAACTGGTTTAATGAGTTTAAACGTGGTCGCACTAATCTCACTGATGATTTACGTGAGGGACGGCCTTCTACGGCGACGACTGAAGATAAAATCTGTGTTGTGCGGCGTATGATAGAGACTGACAAAAGAGTGACCTATCAACAGATTCGGACAAGCTTAGGCATCGGTATGAGTCAAGTGCACAAAATCCTCCACGAACATTTAGCGGTCAGGAAGCTTTGCGCCCGGTGGATACCTCATAATTTGACTGAGGCTCAAAAACTCCATCGTGTGGATTGGTGTCGTAAAATGATTGAAAGATTTAACGGAGGTGACTCAAATGCTGTGTTCGACATACTAACAGGTGACGAAAGCTGGATTTACTGTTATGATCCTAAAACCAAAAGACAATCTGCTCAGTGGGTGTTTCCTTTCGAGGAGTTGCCAACTAAAGTGAAGAGAGATCGAAGTGCGGGAAAAAAAATGGTGGCCTCGTTCTTTGGAAGGATAGGTCATTTTGCAACAATTGTGTTAGAGGATCAAAAAACAGTTTCTGCAGAATGGTACACTACCAATTGTTTGCCACTTGTCTTGGAAAAAGTTCGAGAGAAACGACCTCGCAGTAGGATCCTCCTTCACCACGACAACGCCTCGTCGCACACCGCCAAGCGAACGATCGACTATTTGGCGACATCAAACGTTGAATTACTGGGTCACCCCCCGTATAGCCCCGACCTCGCGCCTTGTGATTTTTATTTATTTCCAAAAATTAAAGAAAAACTTAAAGGAAAGCGGTTTATGAATGCTGAAGAAGCGGTGGCTGCGTATCGCGATGCCATTGAAGAGACCCCTAAGGACGAGTGGGCAAAGTGCTTTTCCCAGTGGTTCCATCGCATGCAGCGGTGTATTGACGTGAATGGACAATATTTTGAAAAGATATAATAAAACTAATAACTGGCTAATGTAATCAGTTTTTGATTTTCTAAGAACTTTCAGTTTGACCCTCGTACAAACAAACAAAGTTAGAAACTACTTTTTATAATATTATTAGGTAGATTTGTACAGCAATCCACTAAACGAAAAGTCGTTCTTAATGCATTTTTTCTTCGCAAAAATTATTAAATAAGTGTCGGCATGTGTAATGTAAGCGCAATACAGAAAATAATCAGTATCCGAATTAAAATCTATATTATAAAAATAAGCGTGGTTAAACAAAACTCTGAGAATTATGGTTTAGTCAAACTTATTTTTATGCTCTTTAGAGAGTTTTTTTTGGGCCGGGGTTATTTTTTATTTCACATTTTTAATCCTAATAAAGTATACCCTTCTTAATGAGTCTAAATACGGCATATATGCTGTTTGTTTTCTTTATGATGGAGTTATGTGTCTCCGTTTGTGCAAATTACCGACGGGAAATCAAATACATGGAGTTATGTATTTGATTTCCCGTCGGTAATTTGCACAAATGTCCATTAAGGTTTAATGACGTATTTAAGTTCTCAATAAATGTTAAATTAGTATCGGTAATGTCGTTTACAAAAATTACAATTTTAATGGATATATGTGGAACTGGCTGTAAATGTATCAAATTTCAACTCAATCGGTGCAGTAGAAGTGTACTAAAAGTCCATTAAATGAATGATTCTACAATATCCGAGATAAAAATTACTTTCAAATGGCTAATTACCTTCAAATGGCTGGCAAACATGGCTAAGGACACATTCGATTAAATTACCTTCTTAACAAAATAGGAATCATCAAAATCCAGACGTACACACACACACGGCAAACTTATAACCCCTATTCGCGTCAGGGGTTAAGAAACCGGATGCAGTGAACCTATGACATCGGTAAAATCGTACAATTCGTTGCGTGCGTGCGTAGGATGCAGCGGTGGGGAAGTATCATACGAATAATGGGTAAAAAGAAAATACTTTCTTATAGGTATCTAATAAAAGTTCGTAATAGATTTGAAGAAACTTTGAAATCTTAGATTTTCAATAGCCACGTCTAAATATATAATGTTCCTAACTTCACACGCATATTTTCTCATAGAATGATTAGTTTAATAATTACCTAATGAGTTATTAGTTAACTACTTAAACATAACTCTCATTACATATTGTTATTTATTCCTCGTCATGACGTACACGTGTAATATGATTTCTTCTCACATTAAAATTAACTTAAGTATGACTCATTGAATTATATTTTATGACGTATTACTTTTGTTTCAGATTGTTTGGATATGGTCAGCTGTTAACTAGTACTGGAGAGGAAGATACAAATAGGTACTTATCTCAAGGAAATTCCAACGCGTAAAATTATGATGAATTAATTAAATAGTAATTCATAATATTGTTAGGGTTGCGAGAACTTATTTTAATAATAACAAACAAGCGGTTAAGCTACAATAATGAGTTATCATTTAATGGTTGGCTGACGTCATAATTTTAACTGTAAACTAAAATCGAAATTCTAAATTTCGTTGGTTTAAGTTATTGTTTTATTATGCCAGCAAAAAGGATGGTGCAACGCATTCCACAGTCAATGTTAAAGTCAGCGCAACAGATATTGTCAAATTTAACATTAACTATAACAGTAGTTATTATGGTGTAATCGAGACTTATAATAATAAAGTTGCTTTTTGTTTTCCAGTGATAATGCCTCGTCTAGAGCAAAGGCCGACGGAGGACTTCCGCAGGGTGCTCCGCGAGAAAGCACTGAGCCACAGTTTGTTTTATCTGAAGCTCGGCGCAGGAGTGTCAGCGGAGCAGACTCGCGAGCCGCGCCGCCAAAACAACGTTAGTGAGAGCGCGCGCGCGCCGACGGCCGCTCGCCTCTCCCGCAAACCGCAGCCGCGAGTGTCCGAACTACTGCGACGATTTGAACCGGGTCCGATGCAGTATCTCCGCCCCCCACGTGCTTCCTCTCCATCCGAAGACATCTCCTCCTCAGATGACGACGACAGGGCGGCAGTCAGGCGACGTAGCCGTGACCTGAGCGACGATTCCGCTGTCGAATTAGAAACTAGGAGGAGACACTCGCATCCGAGGGATATAACACCACCGCCTGATGCTATGGCTCCTAGAAGGGAGCGGACTCTTATCGAAGCCCACGTTGTCGAGTTGGGGAGGCGTGGAAGCGAAGGATGTGAGACTAGAGGCAGATGCGTGAGGACACCCAGTGTGGTAGTCAGTGATTATTCAGATGGCGTGGTAGCTGTTGGAGCTACAGAAGAAGAGGTCAACTGGCTAAGATCCAGATCGCTGTCTGCTGATTCAGCTTGTTCCTCATGCTCCACATTATCCAGCCGCGATGACGACGAATTCGAAGCACCTATGCAGAAAAAGGTGAGTGTTCTATTATTTGTTTTGATTTGAACCGTTTCTTCGGCCATGTTTGTTTAATAAACCGTTAATTGTTTATATTAGCCATATGTTAAACTAACGCCATCGAGTGGTTTGTGTTTGTTAGCGATGTTGTTTACATTTGAATGTGATTATTTTGCTTTCATTGTGTCAAGGTCATGTTAAAAAAAACAATAAGATTATTAAGATGTACGAAAGTCTAGTGATCCCAAAACAGTTTTATCTGAACTTGAAACTGTGTTAAAGGTGATAATTTCTTTTAAACAATTAATTATTACTAAATGGTAATTAAATATACAAGATTTATGTTTTCCTAATAATAAATTAAATGAAACATATAAAACACATCTAATATGCCAAAACTAAAATATAGACTTTAGACTATAAAAAACAATTATGTGTCCATTAAAATTTAAATTTATTTAAATTCAATTTTATTGAAATATAATCATGTCGTCAAGATTAAATTTCTAAAACTTCTGCGTCATAATTTGCTGTCTGCGTCAATGACGCGATAACTTGCTTGCGTGTAATTCTTTAATGCAATATATGCAAAAAATATGCAGCAAAATATTGATTCTTGATTTATTCGTATGTTTTCATTTCCCTTTCTTAAAAAAACTCTGTCAATTTAGCGTACTAAAGTCAAAGTAGGCTAAATTAACAATTCCTGGTTTAGAGGAAAAAGCTTTGTAATGTTGTGCCTGTGACTCATTAGTCATAGTCATAGAAACGTAGGCTCTAGCCTACAGATGTCTTTTCATAAATAAAATACTCATGAGTATTCTCAACTTATTACTGTTCAAGATAATTTCACTTAGTTTGATTGTGGGAAATGAACAGATTTGAATTTTACCTATAATCTGTATAAATAAAAATCGGCTGAACAGATTTGGCTGATTTCTAATTGGTTTTGTTTGATAAAGTCTGAAGAAGGTTCTTATGGAGAAAATAAAACATTGAAAATTATTTTCTTTTCCATACAAACCACTGTGTCAAATATATGAACGTCAATCAAAGCAAAACAAAGACGTCTAGATTGTCTTTGGTTACTTTGTTTTAGAGAAATAGGGCATAACAAGGTCTGCCGGGACATCCAGTATCAATTAAATTATGCAGTATAACTGAAAAGCATCCAAATGACGTTATTACCTAAAGCTCAGATACTTTATAGTAATCTTATAGAAAAATACTTTGAAAAATTCGTCAGTCCCAAATCATATAAACCCAAACGCTTCTACTAGAAATCTTCAGCATAATCACATTACTGAACCTTCTATTAATCTGCTGAAATAACTGAATAACTTTCAGTAGAATAATATGGATATGCCTGTCGAATTCTAATGAAATCGTGATTGATCTGACGAAAGTTGATCTCTCAGTTTAACAGACAATTCAGGACTTTGATTGATCTATCAGGACTATAAACGTGATAAAGCTTGTAGACTGCAAAGTGCAGTCGCTCGTTTTGCTGATCGTTATGGGTTCGAATCTCACCTCGGTGCCTGTAATTATGGAGCTTTTAAGATTTTCTACTTGGAAGAAATATTAATCTTGGGTCTGAATGTAATATTTATCTAATATAATGAAGTAGAGGTTATTTGTTGAAAATGTAACCTACTTTAAAAGAAGCGGATAATGTTCCATACCTACACTTATGTGTACGTAATGGGTAAAGGGTAATCCATAAATTGTAAATAGTTCTGCGGTTTCGAACGACAATTTTTTTATAACTTATCTGGTTAACTTAATAGGCATTCGAATCGAAATCAAAAATTTCACTGAATTTCCTTAATAAACGCGGTATTTGTTAAGATCTTTGCTTTTTAATACTTTTTTGTTCCAAAATCGGGGAACATTTGTAATCTAAGAGGTCCACCGACTATAATAAAAGTTTTGTTTGCCCAAGCCCTAATATAACTTGTTTATTTTTTAGTTCGCTTTTGACCGTCGTGCTTATTTAATTTTTAAATTACTTGCAGTTAAAAATTGATTGAGACACACACAGTTACTTTAGTTTAATTAAGACAGTTGCTTGAGTGTTTGTAAAGTCATTTGCGCTCGTAAATACGTCAGCGCCATCCTTATCACGCGGCGCAGGCGTGCTTTTTACTCATTGATATAATCTATAGACCTGTTTGTTGGTTAAATTGTCTCAACACTCGAAATAATTGTGCCATACCAATCTAAATGGGCCTTCCTTATTTCAAGCATAGGGTCATATTTGCATTGTCCTTGAACTTGCATTCCATATGAAGTGCATTGGTGCATGAGCACACAATGCGTGTTATGCATGACACAGGCAGGAACCTCGATAGTACATATCTACGTTGCGTCGTTTCATTTGCGTAATACAATATTTTTGATTTATTTAATAAAGGAAATACTTATTAGTTTCAATCGACACTACAGATACCAATTTGAAACATTTATAAGCTTAAAGTCGTCATTAACCTTAATGGACCTTTGTGCAACTAGGTGAAAAAATCAGACTGCCGGACCTGAAAATTCAGTGTAGTGCACAAACTCCTTCAGCGAACTAAAGATAACACAGATTTTTAATTATAAGTTTTAATTGATTACCTAACACAGAAAAATTTAGAAATATTGACTAGTTAGAGTTTGTGTTCTTTTCATTTTTTTTCGGCATCATACTGTCATATATAGGTTAACAGTTATCCCAAATAATGTTATAAATGCGAGAGTAACTCTGTTTGTCTATCTGTTACGTTTTACGATTAAATCATTGAACTAAATTAGAATGCAATTTTGTGTACGGATAAGAGAGAGAGTGTATGGGTCAACCCTTGGTAAGGAGTAAGGACAAAGGTTACTTTTTATCGCGATATAAAGAGTTGAAATAGGGAATGAAACTTTGTATGGAAGTTCTTCATTGTCAAAGATAAAACCATGAAACTTTCTTTTGATATATAATTGTTGTAGAGTTTCTTAAATGTTGCCCAGAGTAACTATACGCAGACCAAGTTATCAGTATAGCATTGTTAATGAAAAATTGACCAAATATAATTAGAAGCTCGAAGCTTCTGTCAAAGAATATATGTGCCACTAGCTGGCTAGAGTAATCATCGATATACTTAAAGTGGATTAATGTAATTTGATAATTGTTATGGAATGTTGTTGCTCTATATTGGCAGTTATGTTAAGATTAAAATAATTACGCTGAAACAACTTTGAACTCCTTTACCAAGGATTTTAGACATCACAAATTCAACGGCTTGCGAAGCCGAGTGGCTCCTATGCCGGTTTCAAGGTGTCGCCAACTGTGAGGTTCCGTTTTCGATTCCTGTTCGGGTCATTGTAGAAAATGGAGTTTTCTATATTGTCACTGATCTGGTACCTTTGTTGTCTCAGATGCTCCATAATACTAGGGTTTTTCTACTAATATTGGAATCTGAGCAACGTCTGTGATGTCTTATTTAAAAAAAAAAATTGTAAAAGTAAGATCTGCGGGCGACTGGATACGCTTTGCTATTCAGTATTCAGTAACATTACAGCTTTGAACTTCGATTGATGTAGGTGGCATTTGATTGTATCTCTAGTGCTATGATATGATAGCGTTACTGCGTTTAACGTTGTTGTAGTTTCAACAGAATAACACTGCTATGAAAGTCATACATCACTAAAAAATTGAGGCTTGCACTTGAACACGATTTGGACGCGGTTTTCAGAAGAGTATATATAATACTTATTACATACTATTATAGTACTATTATAGTACTATTATAGTAATACTTATTACAGAAAAATACCAATACCACTAAAAAGCAAGATATAAAAACTTGAAAAAAAAAATATTGAACCGACTTCAAACTTAAAAACAAATAGAGGAAAATAATAGTGATCTCAAAAGCATTTATTCAAGAAAATACTATTGAAGTCTATACTTTAATTAACAGATAACCCCCACTCGACTTTAATAGCACTTTCTTGAAAAAGTCGCTATCGAGATAAGTATAACAATACATTATTATTGGTTTCTAATATTCTTATCTAGTGTTTAGAATAATTGTAATTAAACAAATTACAGAGAATTTTATTATATACGTTACTGGTGCGATAATGACGTCATGCGGAAGTATGTAGGATGTTGTGGAGCAGCAAAAATTCCATAGCGGCCGATAACTTTATCTGGTTATTGCACTTGATGACCTTGGCTCCTGAATGCTGCATCCTTTAATCCTTATACTCTTATCATGGCAATGACGGATGTCAATGTTAACAGTTTTTGTCGAATTGAATTTTAGACAGAGACCCTTTTTAATTTGTAGTTTAAAATTATTTTGTATCTATCTACAGGTAGAATATGAAATTGACAAATACATTACTCAGATTCTAAGATGAGCCACTGCATGTAGTATGAAGCATTGTCTAAAGACAAAAGCACTTGTATTATTTGGGATAACGAAGATACCACATTAAACAAAAAGAAACGATTGTTTTATTCAATATTAGGTTCAAAAACTTTTACTGGGTCGCAATAGAAAATTGAGTACAGGCAATAAACTCCTATTGAACTCCTATGCAGTCGTCATTAAGCCGATATGGTTGTACGGAATTCAACTTTAGCTTCAAATAGTAACAAAGTACAAAGAATGCAGAACGCTATATTGCGCTCAATTAGTGGTGTTCCTTGGTTTATTACCAATACCGAAATAATAGGAAGAATAAAAGAATAATACAAAGAGAAAAATAAAAGAATGATAGACGCTGTTCAGGAGGGAATCCAAAATTACAGAAAGAGATACCAAGACCTTTTAGAAAGATATCCCAATGACCTCGCTGTAGTACTGAAGTCCGAAAACAAAAGATATATTATAGTCTCTCTTTCATCTGGAGACTTAAATGATAATTTAGAGTAGATGGATTGCCGGAGTCACGCATCCACAGAGAATGACACCGAACAAATTTTTTAAAAGTCTAATGAACTGATTGCAGATGAAAATAAAAACACAAAAAAAATC